TGTTGTATGTTTGTGAATGTCTTCCTTTTTGTGATGTTGTATGTTTGTGAATGACTTCCTTTTTGTGATGTTGCATGTTTGTGAATGACTTCCTTTTTGTGATGTTGTATGTTTGTGAATGACTTCCTTTTTATGATGTTGCATGTTTGTGAATTTCTTTTTTCTCTATTGTTGCAGGTTTGTGAATGTGTTTCTTTTGTTATCGTTACAGTTTTGTGAATATGTGACTTTCTTGTTGTTATTGCAGGTTTGTGAATGCCTTTGTGTGTGTGTGTGTGTGTGTGTGTGTGTGTGTGTGTGTGTGTAGGGGAGGGATGTGTGTGTGTGCGTGTGTGGAGACATATGCACACACAGACACGCCCACAGACACACACGCAGACAAACATACATACAGCCACTTAGACAGACACGCAAACACACACAAACATACACAGGCAAACATGTAGACAAACACATACGGACACACACAGACAAACACACAGAAACACATACGCAGACAAACACACACATACGCACACAGAGACAAACACTCATGCAAACACACATAACACACACGCGGGCAAACACACATACAACACGCGCAGACACATGTACACAGTCACACACAGACATATACACTGACATGCAGACACATACACACAACAAAGAGGTACACACACACAGAGACACACAGACATACACTGAGATAGATAACTATCTAGGTAGACAGAAAGAAAGACTGACAGACACATAATAGACAGACAGATAGACAGACGGACGGACAGGCAGACAGACAGGCCTGCAGACAGACAGAAAGGTAGGTATGTAGATATATATATATATATATATATATATATATATATATATATATATATATATATATATATATATATATATATAGTTAGATACATAGACAGATGAATAGACAGACAGACAAAGAGACCGACGAACATACATAAAGACAGACAGACAGACAGACAGACAGACAGACAGACAGACAGACAGACAGACAGACAGACAGACAGACAGACAGACAGACAGACAGACAGACAGACAGACAGACAGACAGACAGATTAGATTGGACTGTCTAACAAGCTCACACTCACACACACACACACACACACACACACACACCCACAAAAGATGTAACTGATAAAGAAGTTAAAGAATCAACACATAATCAGTTAACAATAATGTATATGTCATTCCCCAACAGTCACTTCCCATGTATTACAACAACTACTCAACACATAATCAGTTAACAATAATGTATATGTCATTCCCCAACAGTCACTTCCCATGTATTACAACAACTACTCAACACATAATCAGTTAACAATAATGTATATGTCATTCCCCAACAGTCACTTCCCATGTATTACAACAACTACTCAACACATAATCAGTTAACAATAATGTATATGTCATTCCCCAACAGTCACTTCCCATGTATTACAACAACTACTCAAGACATAATCAGTTAACAATAATGTATATGTCATTCCCCAACAGTCACTTCCCATGTATTACAACAACTACTCAACACATAATCAGTTAACAATAATGTATATGTCATTCCCCAACAGTCACTTCCCATGTACAACAACAACTACGAAAGAAAAGAAGACTTTCTGCCCTGCCAGTGTTTCCGCTGTGTGGCCAGTAGACCCACCTTTAGCCACGTCATGCGGCCGCTGAAGGACACCACCACACCCTTCCAACAGACGTCTTCCCCTCTCACACCGCCTTCGCCTCCATTCTCCTTCCTTACCCAGTGCGCACCTGGGTCACGCATGAGATCACCTCCGGTTGCAGGTATCTCACCCTCACCTTCAGAAAGTTCCTTGTACCCGTGTGCCCAGAGTTCTCTTGTCTCGGGAGAAACCAGTGAGCCCCTCAACAACGTCACACTGAACTTGTCTCTGGGAGCGAGAGTGGCAGAGTCTGGCAAAGAAAGATCCTTTCAGGTAATTGTTTTTTAAGGATTATATGTAGTTTTTCGTTTTAATGAATGTTTTGATGCGGATGATTTTGCCGAGGACCATTTTCATTGCATTTTCTGACAAACGTAATGTACGCTCCAGTCACGGGCACCGACTTGGAACATTGGAGCGGCTCGCATGGGAGGGACTAAAAGCGGTTTTAGCGCCTAGACACATTTTCAAGAGAGTGAGTGAGATAGAGAGAAAGATAGAAAGACAGAGAGAGAGAGAGACAGGGAGAGGCAGGGAGAGATAGAGGCAGAGAAAGAGTGCGTGTGACAGAGAAAGAGACGGACAGAGAGACAGAGAGGGAGAGAGAGAGACGGGGGCAGGGCTCCAGTAGATATATCTTGACGTCTTGTTTAACTGTATAATGATAATAATGTGTTGAATAGCAAATAGTTTTATAATATATCTGAAATAAAAAGAAATGTATAATAATTACTTAATAATATAACTCATAAGCATTATTGCCTGGCTCACTAGCGCAGTTGGTTAAAACCCTCTGCGCGGCGACCGGGTGACGAACTCCTTGTGGTCCGGGTTCACGCCCGGGGTAGGCAGAAAAGCCACATTTTCTCCCAGATTTACTGTATCTATCATGGAATCAAGGCCAAAGGGTTCACAACTCATAGTTTTTAAATACAGAAAAAAAAATGCATATAGTGGAGCCGCTCACCTTGTTTACAATTATTCAAGGATGGGTTGGAAAGGGTTGAAAGGGGGTCAATGGACCTAAGTAGTCAAATCTGCCAGCCTCTCCCCCCCCCCCCTTTCCCCTCTCTCTCTCTCCTTGCCACCCCTGAATCCAATCCGGCAATTGAGCTGCTGGACAAAACATCAAAGCTCCTGGGCACCGGTCAAGGTCAGGGACAAGTACTTTGCATATTCCGGTGTCATATCAAATATATCCACCGTCGAGTGTCCATTGGACTATACAACATTTGGGTCTAGTTAAATGTGCCCGATATGTCAGTAACATGACAGCAGCCATTTTCTGTTGTCAGTGACATGACAGCATCTATTTTCTGTATTAGAATATTTCTTTACAAAGGTTATGGTGCGTTACTTGCACGTCAACATTGCTGTCGAGTTTCCCAGTAGAAATTGTCTTTCTCTTTCTGTAGTGTCTGGACTCGAAACCTTCTCGAAATAATACATATTAGATCATCGTCACCATCATCAACATCAGTTTCCACTTTTGCATTTAAGCGGCGTAGGGATACAAATCAATTTGGGACCTATTTTTTGATGGGAGCAACTATCTACTGTCATTCAATCTAGATGTAGGGAATCTTTAATGTAGTCGATCCATAACTTCTAGGGTGACCTCTTTTTTCCACATTTAATCTTTTCATGTGTAGAGTCTATATTGGTAGTTGATCATTTCCAGAAGGGTAATGAAAAGAAAGAATGAGAGTTTTTTTTTCCTGTCTCTTTTCCCTACTTGGACCTAGTTGAGGCTCACTATGTTTAATGTTACTGAAAACCCACCCACAGAACTTTGCTTCTGCTAACTCCTCAGTTTCGGAAGTAACATATTGTCTGGCAATTACAGACCATGATGTTACGGATTGCTTGTGCTTTGTTGGTGTGGTACTTGTCTGCAAACATTTCCTTGATTATTGAGACAAGTAAATTAGGAAAATTAGCAACCATGAACCTCTTTTAACTGCAGCGAAAAGGCCAAAAATGCAGTGGTATGGACATAACATCTAACGACTTCTTGAAAGCAATAGTGCAGTAAATGGAAAGATGAGAAGAGGCAAATCAAGAAAGACTTGGTTACAGAACCTGACAGAAGAAGACAGCCCTTAGGCATGCAACCATGAAGTCCATCGCAACTGACCGCCAAAGGTGGAGAGAGCTGATCAATCAACAGAAACTAGTGACACAACGACACGCAGTATTACGGGATGATGATACTGGGGAGGGTTGTCGTGATTGATTTTCTCATGCAAATTCTAGCCCGCAAATCTTATTCCAAAAAAAGATCGTATACCAAACATAGTTTTTGGCTTCTAAACAGGAGGGATGCCAAGTACTACTTATACCGAGGCACGACTGTAATTTTAACAGATTTTACTAACTTACTACTTATACCGAGGCACGACTGTAATTTTAACAGATTTTACTAACTTACTACTTATACCGAGGCACCACTGTAATTTTAACAGATTTTACTAACTTACTACTTATACCGAGGCACCACTGTAATTTTAACAGATTTTACTAACTTACTACTTATACCGAGGCACGACTGTAATTTTAACAGATTTTACTAACTTACTACTTATACCGAGGCACGACTGTAATTTTAACAGATTTTACTAACTTACTACTTATACCGAGGCACGACTGTAATTTTAACAGATTTTACTAACTTACTACTTATACCGAGGCACGACTGTAATTTTAACAGATTTTACTAACTTACTACTTATACCGAGGCACCACTGTAATTTTAACAGATTTTACTAACTTACTACTTATACCGAGGCACGACTGTAATTTTAACAGATTTTACTAACTTACTACTTATACCGAGGCACGACTGTAATTTTAACAGATTTTACTAACTTACTACTTATACCGAGGCACGACTGTAATTTTAACAGATTTTACTAACTTACTACTTATACCGAGGCACCACTGTAATTTTAACAGATTTTACTAACTTACTACTTATACCGAGGCACGACTGTAATTTTAACAGATTTTACTAACTTACTACTTATACCGAGGCACGACTGTAATTTTAACAGATTTTACTAACTTACTACTTATACCGAGGCACCACTGTAATTTTAACAGATTTTACTAACTTACTACTTATACCGAGGCACCACTGTAATTTTAACAGATTTTACTAACTTACTACTTATACCGAGGCACGACTGTAATTTTAACAGATTTTACTTACTTACTACTTATACCGAAGCACCACTGTAATTTTAACAGATTTTACTAACTTCAAACTAACATGTTTCGTTTCATTAACTCTCTGCCACCTGACTGTTTATGCTGACAGTGCCGAGAGTGTGGCAAAGGCTTCAAGAGATCCTCCACACTGTCCACACACATGTTGATACACAGCGACACCAGGCCTTACCCCTGCCCCTACTGCGGCAAGAGATTTCATCAGAAGTCCGACATGAAAAAACACACCTACATACACACAGGTAATCTAACGTCTCTTCCTTTGATATCCTCGTCTTATCTCTTGGCAACTGTGTACTTTCATGGCCAGATATTGACAGTCTTTGAAAAATATCAACGCAAAATGACAACATGTGAGATGAGACGTCTAAGAAGTAAAAAGTAAAAAAGTAAAGATCCGTTTTCACGCCTTAGGCGCATCGTGCATTCGGAAAAAGCGTCCCATAATTTTACAGACCAATCGGAACTGGGTGGGTAATGTGGTCAGCATTACGCCGGCCGTCTTTACTTCCCCAGGACAACCATTCTGGTACCCATTTTAGGCTGGGTCGACCTGCGACGCCCCATACCACGATAAAAATCCACTCAGCCAGTAGTTGGGTTTCGATCGCGTTACTCAAGAAGTGAGAGGGGGAAAAAATAACAACACAAGACAAAGTTATCAATAAAGAACTACGAGAAATAGTAGGCACAGTAAAGTAAGTAAGTAAAGGACCCTTTTCTACGCCATCAGGCTATAGGGGATATAGGGCTAGATCAATCGACACAAGATGGGTGATGTGGTCAGCATCACGTCGGCCGCCTTTACTTTCCCGGGACTGCACCCGGTACCCACTCAAGGCTGGGTCGACCTGGGAAGTAGGCACAGAACCGGTGAATAATTTCGTAGGAGATCAAAGAATCAAATGGTTCGGTCATTTGATCAGAATGGAACAAAAATTAGCCAGCAGCTAGAGCGTACTATATGAGAACTGCTGACAACAGGCTACAAATCAAGAGGTCGACCAAAGAAACAGATGGATAGAAGAAGTGAAACAGCCACTACAGAAACGAAATAGAATTAACACAAGCTACAGGAGTAGCAAACGACAGGAGACTACATTCTCTGTGTGGGTCCTGGGGCCCTATTATAGGGAAAATAAGAATAGACCCACTGCTTACCCAAAAGCATGTCGTAAAAGTCGATTAATTAGGAGCTTCCTTCGAAGTCAGAGTGCACCTGCCTGAGAGCCAAGGAACCAGCAGTCTGCATACAAATGAGTCAGATCTGTAAAATAGATACACACGCAACTCATAGGTTCTGAAACAGGACTGCAGTCCAGAAGTGTATGAACAACCAGAACTTTCTGCCAGAGTTTACAGTTAGTGAACGGCAAGAAGAAGAAGAAGAAAAAGAAAAAGAAGAAGAAGAAGAAGAAGAAGAAGAAGAAGAAGAAGAAGAAGAAGAAGAAGAAGAAGAAGAAGAAGAAGAAGAAGAAGAAGAAGAAGAACAAGAACAAGAACAAGAACAAAAAGAACAAGAAAAACAAGAAGAACAAGAAAAACAAGAAGAACAAGAAGTAGAAGAAGAGACTGGAAGAAGATTGTAGTCCATATGTGGACGAACCTCCAAAACACCAGAGTTAATAGCTGGTGAACGATATCAAGAAGATGATTGCTATCAGCATCAGCAGCATCATCATCATCATCGTCGTCATTACTTCACATAATAGTTACCGAATGCAGTGCTACAGCATATTTCAACAACATATTAATCATGTTATCGACTGAGTGGCTGGTACACTAGGCTCACATATGGACGATTTGGATTTGTAAGATGAAGGATATTTTCTGTCAAGGAAATACTAATATCCAAACTGGCACAGTCCTTGGCAAGGGTTTTAAGCATACGACCATTAATTCGCAAGATCACCCACCCCCTTCTTGGCCAACATGCCAAAGAAAGTTATAAGTCGACTTACTGGGGGCATCCCTAAAGGTCGGAGTGCGTTTGTCATAGAGGCAATGAACTAGAAATCTGCATTTAAATAAACCATTCCCAAACCACCAGAGCTTTCCACGAAGTTTACAGCGAAGAAGAATATGTTTTGGATAGGGCGATGACAAAGAGAAACATGTTCATTGTTAACAAAAATACTTTTTCTCTTGATGCAGGTGAGAAGCCTCACAAGTGCACCATATGCGGCAAAGCTTTCAGCCAGTCATCAAATCTGATCACCCACAGTCGCAAACATACAGGATACAAACCCTTTTCCTGCGCCAAGTGTGGCAGGTCTTTCCAAAGAAAAGTGGACATGAGGCGCCACATTGAGCTAGCCAATCATTTCTGATGATGTCCCTGACGTCAGCGGAAGTTTAGTGATATGATACTTCCGGTAATTGGGAAAAGGGTTAGGGCCGTGCTTGCTGGCAAGTTAACATTGCAGACTCAACGATTTTTTTAAGAAAGACGCAAGCAATGTTTGTAGCATTGCGTCAACATGTGTGAAGGGAAGATATTTTGTTATTAAACCCTGTGATAGAGCTAATCTTTCCGTTAATGTGTTTTAGAGGCGTATAAGATAGCAAAAGAACATGCAAAATATGTAGCATTAGGGGCAAAGCTACGTGGCTATTTCATCATCATCATCAGTTCTCGTTATGCCTAGTGGCACATGAGGCTTCAGAGAGGACTTTCCATGCTTTCCTGTCATGTGCAATCTTCGATGCAGTTTTCCATGTCAAAGATGCCACACTCAGGTCACTTTCCATCGTTCGTCTCCATGTTGTTTTTCGGCGCCCCTTTTTCCTCTTTCCCTCTGGTATCCATATGAGAGCTGTTTTGGCAGGTATACCAGGATTCATTCTCATAACGTGGCCAAGCCATTTCCATCCTCTCTTGGTTATCATACTGTCTAAAGCTTCTTGGTTTGTGACTTGAAGTAGTTTAGTGTTTTTAAGAACTGGCTATTTGAGAACTACAAACGCGGACATGATAGCTAGCAAGGCTGTACAACCTGACATTAAAAAAGGTATAAAATAAGCGTGAATATGAAATCCCCTCTAATTACCTGGTCATTCCCTTGTGTGGTGCAATTTTTCGTTTTTTGAGGCCCTACTCTGGCTTTTGCCAGGGGCCGCAATATAGCCCGGCCATAAATATGGTCTAATGACTGAACGCGGTTTCTGGGACCTCTCTACAGATGATTCTCGTCCACATGGTGGCACTTTGTGTCATCAGGTGTTAATCGCTTGTGTCATGTCCTGGGGAGGTAGAAGGAGACAGTTAGATAGAAATCCCCTCCAACTTTTTCGGGGGAAGGGGGGGGGGGGGGGTAAACTGAAACATAAGGACATTTCAACAGGTGTGGTAGAATGAAACAACGCTTTCCTTTTGAATGACATATGCACTATGGGCTAGAACATTTTATAAGTCGGAACAAATTAAAAAACCTGTGCAAACGTTTACTGCACAGTCTTTGCAAGAAATGGACGAGAGTTATCGTAGAACAAAATCACACTGCAATGGAGCAGGGCATGACGTGTTTTCTTGATAGCTTTATACAGCTTGTCTAGTGTTTCCAAGTAGTGGCTTCAGTTGATAGTGAAACCAGGTTCTTGTTTGCCAGTTATAGGCCAGTGTGATTTACACGTACGTGTTCGTACACATAATCCTCCAAGTCTGGGTTCTAAGGCCCCAAGAATATAAACAAGCATAGACCTACTGCGTTCCCAACCAGCATGTCTAAGAAATCGACTCAAACGGGGAATACCTCGAGGTCGGAGTGCATCTGCCTGAGAAGCTAAGAATCAGCAGTCTTCTGTATAAAAATAAGCCAGAGTAAAACGGATGCGCATGCAACACTCAGGTCTTTGAATAAAACTAAAATCTAAAGGTGGACGAACAACCAGAAAATTCAGCAGGTGTTTACAGCCAGGTAATACCAAGAAGAAAAAACAAAATCGCTGTGCCAGTGGACAGGAGTGAGAGTGACCACATCGCGCATGGAGTAGCCACACAGTCATCTGTAGCCGGTCGTGGAGTAGCCACACAGTCAGCTGTAGCCGGTCGTGGTGTAGCCACACAGTCATCTGTAGCCGGTCGTGGAGTAGCCACACAGTCAGCTGTAGCCGGTCGTGGAGTAGCCACACAGTCATCTGTAGCCGGTCGTGGAGTAGCCACACAGTCATCTGTAGCCGGTCGTGGAGTAGCCACACAGTCAGCTGGAGCCGGTCGTGGAGTAGCCACACAGTCAGCTGAAGCCGATCGTGGTGTAGCCACACAGTCAGCTGGAGCCGGTCGTGGAGTAGCCAAGGGACAACAAACGTATAGGGATCGCACTGTAGTAACAACACAATCCTTGTCGTAGATTGAGGTCTTTCATTGACTTTAAACATAGGTCAATGACACTGTCGCAGCAACTAGCATCTTGTCCAAGCAAAGCTAGACTTATATATGCATAGCCCTGTTGTCACTGGATGGTTGATGCGTTTTGTTTTAAAAAAAATCTCACCGACCGCTTTTACTTCCCAGAAATTGCTTGTATGGATTGTTTAAATTTTTTTTTGAAACTGGATTCTAAGATAGTCATGTATACAAGTGAGAGTATAGTGGTGTAGGGGCTAGATGCTGGCCTGCAGATCTGAACGTTTGGAGTGCAGACCCTGACGAATCCGGACTTTAACAAAAAAAAAATGTATCCTGGCTCCAGTCTTGAAATGGGTACTAGTTAAAGACCTGGAAAGTGGGAAGTGAAAGAGGCCGGCGTGATGTTTACCACATCACCCATCAAGTTCCGACTGGTCTATAAAATAAAGATCGAACCCTATATGCCCAATACGCCTGAAGGTGTGGAAAAGGGTCCTTTACTTTACAAGTCGGGCCTGACTCTCTAGCGTAGTTGGCTAAACCGGATTGCGCGGAGACCGGGTGACGAACTCCTTGTGGTCCGGGTTCAATCCCGAGGGTTGGCAGGAAAGCCACATTTTCTCCCAGATTTACGATATTTACAATGGAATCAAGGCCGAAAGGTTGCGATTTCCATAATACCGAGCCTAGGGGTTAACAACTCATGGCTTTTGGATACTAAAACAAACAAACAACTTTACAAGTCGGAGAGTATAGCCATTTTACGGAGCTTCTTTGACCTAATTTACATACACAGTATGGTGGCAGAAGTGTTATGGATATTATTTCTATTATGTTTTGTATAGTTCGTATATAACAAATTATGTTAGTTGCGTATACTTTACAGGACGTTGCAGAACCAACCCTAACAGCCCCTGGCTGTTGTGTGGTTTCTCTAGGCAATTTACATCCAGTAGTTTGCCATTGCTTTCTGGACGGTCGGCTTTCTTGATACCACTATAGAAACCAACGCAAGGCGCATTGCCCACAGCTGGGATCGAACCTGGCATCCCGGCATTACGAAGCGAAGCGTTCGCATCGACTTAGCCACAGAGCCGACAACAAATTATGAGGAAAACCAAATTTAAAACCTAGAGAAAAGGATCATAGTGTTTTAATATATATGTTAGTAAGTAGTTGCCCATCGTTTACAGGACGTTGCAGAACCAACTCCGGCATTTTTTGCTGTTGTGGTTTTTCTAGGCAAATGTTACGTCCAGAAGTTTGCCCTTGCCTGTAGACGGTCGGCTCTCGATTCCATTATGCTAAATACAACATAAAATGTGACTAGAAAACTCAAAGGGAGGAATGGAAAAGACGCATACAAAAACAACCGTACGTTTCAAGCAAAATAGGTCATCATTCTGAAAACCACTATCGAAACCAACACAAGGCGCAAAGCCTGCAGTTGGGATCGAACCCGGCACCCCGGCATTACGAAGCAAGTATTATAATACTCACATTCGGATCATGCATGAGGCTGCAGTCAGTCAGCCGTGTGGGGACTTCCTTGTGTGGTCCATAGAGAAGGAACTCAAGCAACTCTGTAATTCGCACGAAACAGATGAAGGCAGGCCTGTGTTTTAAACTGTATTGTCATGCCTGCGTGTGTTAGGAGTTTGTGTATGACACACGCACAAGTAAATTAATAGTCATATACATCCTTAGAGCAAGAAAGGGATGGGAAAGAGAGAGAGAGAGAGAGAGAGAGAGAGAGAGAGAGAGAGAGAGAGAGAGAGAGAGAGAGAGAGAGAGAGAGAGAGAGAAAGCCCAGCTTGAGGATATTTGATGTGAGAAGGACCAACTGCTGTAAGCTGATACAAGCGTTCATCCATGGGGCAACTGGATTGTGTGTAGATGTATGAAGACATTTAGGTCCGACAGTATGAATGGGGAAACTGTGGTGTTGGTACATGTATGAGGAAACTGTGGTGTTGGTACATGTATGGGGAAACTGTGGTGTTGGTACATATATGGGGAAACTGTGGTGTTGGTACATGTATGGGGAAACTGTGGTGTTGGTACATGTATGGGGAAACTGTGGTGTTGGTACATGTATGGGGAAACTGTGGTGTTGGTACATGTATGGGGAAACTGTGGTGTTGGTACATGTATGGGGAAACTGTGGTGTTGGTACATGTATGGGGAAACTGTGGTGTTGGTACATGTATGGGGAAACTGTGGTGTTAGTATATGTATGAGGAAACTGTGGTGTTAGTATATGTATGGGGAAACTGTGGTGTTGGTACATGTATGGGGAAACTGTGGTGTTGGTACATGTATGGGGAAACTGGGGAGTTGGTACATGTATGGGGAAACTGTGGTGTTGGTACATGTATGGGGAAACTGTGGTATTGGTACATGTATAAGAAAACTGTGGTGTTGGTATATGTATGGGGAAACTGTGGTGTTGGTATATGTATGGGGAAACTGTGGTGTTGGTACATGTATGGGGAAACTGTGGTGTTAGTACATGTATGGGGAAACTGTGGTGTTGGTACATGTATGGGGAAACTGTGGTGTTGGTACATGTATGGGGAAACTGTGGTGTTAGTATATGTATGGGGAAACTGTGGTGTTGGTACATGTATGGGGAAACTGTGGTAGTATATGTATGAGGAAACTGTGGTGTTAGTATATGTATGAGGAAACTGTGATGTTAGTATATGTATGGGGAAACTGTGGTGTTGGTCATGTATGGGGAAACTGTGGTGTTAGTATATGTATGGGGAAACTGTGGTGTTGGTACATGTATGGGGAAACTGTGGTGTTAGTATATGTATGGGGAAACTGTGGTGTTGGCACATGTATGGGGAAACTGTGGTGTTGGTACATGTATGGGGAAACTGTGATGTTAGTATATGTATGGGGAAACTGTGGTGTTGGTACATGTATGGGGAAACTGTGGTGTTAGTATATGTATGGGGAAACTGTGGTGTTAGT